GATGTGGTTGTACAGGTGGGAGAAATGTGGTTGTACATGTGAGTGAAATTTGGTCGTATCAGTGGGTGAAATGTAGTTGTAAAGATGAGCGAAATGTAGTTGTACATGTGGGTGAAATTTGGTCGTACAGGTGGGTGAAATGTAGTTGTAAAGATGAGCGAAATGTGGTTGTACATGTGGGTGAAATGTGGTTGTACATGTGGGTGAAATGTGGTCACGTGCTCATGTCGTGAAACAATCACCAAAAACTCTCTCCCACTGTAAAAAAATCTGGATCCGCTGTAATACTTCGTAACCGTGACAACGATTTCTCGGCGCGTTTCAGATGATGGACGGCAGCTGTGTGCTGACGTTCACCTATCGCTTCCCCGAGAGCAAGAGTGCGACCACCTACTTCACCTTCTGCTACCCGCACTCGTACGAGGAGTGCCAGAGCATGCTCGCGTCTCTCGACAAGCGATTCCAGTACTGCAAGCAGCTCACGCCCGACAGGTAGGCAACGCGATCGAGGGGGGAACTAAAGCCTAGCGCAGACGTGCGACTTTTTCATGCAACTCGGCTGCAATTCTAGAATCGCAGTCGAAATTGCTGTGAAATCGCTATGTCTGCGGGAACGAGCAACTGCAACTCGTAGCGATTCTGGTCGCTTGCAACGAGTTGCAAGAAATCAAACTGGTTTGATTTTCAGCAACTCGTCGCTCCCAATTGCTCCGAAATTGCTTTGAAATCGCTTGTGTGCGCTCACACGGTGAAGCGTGCGACCGATTGCATGTGGTTGCAAGTTGCAGCGACGAGCAACCAAAAGTCGCAAGTGTGCGCTAGGCTTTAGCGATGGAATCTCCGTCCGCACTGTTGTGCGTCAAGGTCTATTCGTCCGGAGATCGTTCCTGACGTTCCTCTTGTTCTTGAGATCGAATTGTCATAAGATCGGGAGCTTATAACTTCCATTTGTAAGTTCCTGATAAGATGCATAGGCGACGCGGTGGAAAATATTTGGAAATTCGAAAATATTCGTCGATCGAACGAAAATTCAAGTCGGGATTCGTCTTTAGTCACGCCATCACGCATCCGAAAACTGAAAGTGTTTACTGATTTTGTTTGCGAAACGTTTATCACGTAAGGAAACGAAGGCGCGCGTACGTGACGACAAGTAAAAACTCCATAAACGCGTTCTAACGTTTCCGACGTCGACGACGCGACGTGCGTTCTTGTGTTTGACCTTCCCCCGCCGCTCCCCGCACAGTTCGCCGCGGACGATATACTACCACCGCGAGCTGGTCACGACGTCGATCGAGGGGCTCAACGTTGACCTTCTGACCATCACGTCGTGCAAGGGCATGACCGATACCAGGGAGCCGTATCTGCACAAGCTGTTCCCTGACCGGTCGCAGCCGCGGCCGCACGTGTTCAAGGGCAAGCGGGTGCGTAGCAACGCTCGTGAAATACGGCGGCGGTGGTTCCCCGCGTTATTATGGTTTATTACCTGCTGGAAGGGGGGAATAATCCTTATACATCTCCAGATCTACGCGTGCTAACTCTCATTTCGTCTTTTATTGAGTATATTGAATTCTATTGAATTATTTCTTCTAATAATGAATTAATAGTAATTAATTAGTTCGATTAATCGTCGACCTTCCCCTCTCCC